GAGGATGAGGATGAGGATGATGATCATGCTGATGATGATGCTGCTGATGATGATGATGATTATGATGACGATGATGATGATGATGATGATGATGATGATGATGAAGATGATGATGATGATGATGATGATGATGATGATGATGATGATGATGATGATGATGATGATGATGATGATGATGATGATGATGATGATGATGATGATGATGATGATGATGATGATGATGATGATGATGATGATGATGATGATGATGATGATGACGGTGGTGCTGATGATGGGATGGGGATGGGGACAGCAAAGATGATGGCTTGTGGTGATGGCAATGGAGATGGTGATCGTGCTGATGAAGATGGCAGTGTTGATTATGATCAGGGGTCCGCTTACGGCAAGCATGCATCCCATCCGCAGACCGTTGCCTCGCAAGCACGCCCCAGAGGCTGTCGAAGCGCTAGAGCCCTCGGAGCCCAAGACGCCCATCGTCGGGCAAGAAGGCCCCCGAGAGCAGGACGCAACCCGCTGCTGGAGGCCCGGCCCTTGGCACGCCTCGCCCCCTCAGGAGCCTTGAGACGGGGGTCAGTACAGACGGGGGTCAGCCAGGGCACCGGATCCTGCAGGATCCTGCGAAGACCCCCTCTGGCTGACCCGGGTTAGCGAGCCGCTCGTGGCCGCCAGGCGGCCGCGCATATTGGTTAGCAGTTTTTTTTTTCTTTTTTTGTCCTGCATTGCAGTTTTTGGTTTCCCGCTGACCCGGGTCAGGATTGACCCAGGTCAGAAGATCCCCGACCCCCCCCCACAGCAGGAACAGACCGCTGGCCGACCCGCTCAGCAGGCCTGCGCAGGCCGAGGCCCTAGGGGCGGCGGCCCGCGCCGCTCGAGGCCGCGGCCCGCGCGCGCGGGCCGCGCGGGCCGGCAAAAGCCCACCGCTGCCCCGCTGGGCCGCAGGAGGGCTCCACGAGGGCCTCAGCAAATGCCAAGACGGCCTCGGCCGCTCCTCCTCCTCCTCCTCCTCCTCCTCCTCCTCCTCCTCCTCCTCCTCTTCCTCTTCCTCGTCGTCGTCCTCCTCCTCCTCCTCCTCCTCGTCCTCTCCTCCTCCAAGAGGGACGCCGGGGCACGAGCACTGACATAAACATAATAGCTCGGAGGTCTGCGCGGGTTTCTCGGATCGGCGCTGGGGCCCCCTGGCGCCGGCCCTGGCGCGCTCCGCGCGCCGGGGGGGGGGTCAGCGCGGGACCTCCGAGTTTCTATGTTTATGTCATGTTTCGTTCCCCTACAATGGCTTCCAGCATTATGAAGGCCTTCTGGGCGGTGCCGCCGACGCTGCATGCGGGACCTCCTGGGGGCCCCCGCTGGCGACACCCCAGCGGGCCCCACCCCCTCCAGGACCTCCTCTGGACCCCCACCCCGGCGGGAAGGGATCAATGGGAAGGGGCTTCCTTTCGACTGAGCTACGGCGTTCCTCACTTTCCTTGTCGCTGCCAGTCAAAGGGGAAGCCCAGGGAAACAGAACAGCGCCTGCCACAGAGGTCCCAAGACCGCTCCGAGCGGCCCTGGTGCCTCCCTAGGGTCGGGTGTTGCTCGAAGTGCCTCCGGCCCAGGGCGCCCCTCGGATCTTCAAAGAGGCCCCCGCGGCCTGCAGAGGAACCCTCACGAGGCCCAGAAGGCCCAAGGGGGGCCAAGGTGGAGCGAGAAGCTGGGGGCACCTCGACCCAGGGGCACCTTCAGCCAGGTCGCCCGCGGGGGTGCGAAGAGACACCCGCGCTTCGCGCGTCGCGGCCTGGGCCAGCGCCGACTGCTCTTCCCCAGAGGGGGCCGCGCGCGGGTGGCTCCCCTGGCGCGCCTCGTGCACGCGGGCGCCTCGTGGGGCCAAGAGGGGGCCTCGTTCCCTGTCTGGCGCTCCTTGTGGTGGCAGCCCTTCTGAGTGGCCTTCTCGTCTCCTCCTCCTCCTCCGCCCCCTCCTCCTCCTCCTCCTCCTCCTCCTCCTCCTCCTCCTCCTCCTCCTCCTCCTCCTCCTCCTCCTCCTCCTCCCCCTCCACAACTACTCAATATGAATACTACTCTCCTCCTTCCCCTGATGACGGGTCGGGAGTGTTCGCCTCCCCCCCCCGCGTTCTGTTTTTCTACACAGGATTCCCCGGAGTTGGGGTTTCGCCTGCATTTTTTTCAAAATCTACTCTCGCTGAGGCGCCGGCCTCATTTTCGGGCCCCGCTCGTTCCGAATCGTGCTCCCGCTGCAGCGCTGGCCTCATTTCCGTCCTTCCGCTCGTTCCGAATCGTGCTCCCGCTGCAGCGCTGGCGTCATTTCCCGTGCCATGCCACGGCATGCAATGCAATGCTAGGTTGCGTTCCGCTGCGCGATGCCATGCCTTCAGCTGAAGCTGTGATATGCAGTGCTTAAGTGCCACGTCGTGCTATGTCATGCTACGCTTTGATCTTCAACGCCATGCTATGCAATGTTACGTTCGGGGCCGGTGTGCGATGCCATGCTTTGTGTTGCAAATCTTTGTGATGCAATTCTTCACTACGCCACGCCACGCCATGCTGTGACATACTACGCTTCGCGGTGCTCTTCTACGCCATGCCATGCCGTGCTCTACAATGCATCGCGTACCCTTTCGGGATCATTGCCCTGCTCGACATCCGACTGTGCGAGTAGAGAGGGGATCTACGCCATGGTAAGGGATGGGAGGGAGGGGTAGGATGTCAGATATGACGCGAGCGCACCTAGCTTGCCCCTCCCCCCTCCCCCTCCCCCTCCCCCCTCCGCCCCCTCTTCTTCCTCCTCCTCCTCCTCCTCCTCCTCCTCCTCCTCCTCCTCCTCCTCCTCCTCCTCCTCCTCTCCCCCCCCCGTTGCCGCCTGCCTGCCCTCTTCCCGCTCTTGCATGCTGGCCACTTCGCTGTGCCCCCGTCTAGCTCTATCGCTGGTGCAGCCAACTCTGCCTCGCCGCCGACGAGAATTTGCAGCAGCCCTCCTGCAGTCCAGTCTTTCCCTGACCAGCCTCGCCCTCTACTCGGGAGAGTCGGGGCAGCTGTTCGCGGATGCTCAAGTCCGAGGCGGGGATTCGTCCATAACCACCGCTGGTGGGTTCAATATTCCGGGGCCTCGACAGGCGGTGGATATGGATAAATTTCCCCCCCCTCCCCCGGGGCCAACATATATCCATATTCACCGCCAGCCGAGGCCCCAGGGCGCGGTTCCCCAGGCGGTGGATATGGTTAAACCCCCGCCTTGCATTAGGATCGTGCCCCTCCCTCTCCCCCATCCCTTTCTTCCCCGCCCCCCGCCTGGTTCCCCCAGCTGGCCGAGCGCCCTTGCCCCGATCGGGGGCGGCTGGGAACGCAGATGGACCAGCTTCCCCGAGTCTGGTGCACGGCACGGAACCTGCACAGATCCCTCTCTTCCCCTCCCTCCCGCTCCCACTCGCTCCTGCTTCTGCTTCTCCTCCTTCCCCTCTCCTCCACTCTCCCGCCCTCCGACTCCCAATGTCCCCTCCGAACAAATCTTCGTTCCCTTCATCTTCCCCTTCTGTTCATCTCCCTCCTCTTCCCCTCATTCCCCTTCCCCATTCCCTCCTCTTCCTCTTCCCCTCCAACTCTCCATTCCCCCGCTGCCGCCGCTGCTGCTGCTGCCGCTCGATAGCAGCAGCGATCGCAGCAGGGAACAGTCCTTCTCCTCCCAGCAGGGGATCCTTCCCCACCCTCCCTCTTACCCTCCTCCTTACCTCCCTCCCCCCAAACCTCCCCCTTCCCCCTCCTCTTCCTCCTCTTCATCATCATCATCATCATCATCATCATCATCATCATCATCATCATCATCATCATCATCATCATCGTCCTCTTTTTGTTGTCCTGATACATGTGTCCTCCTTGTCGCAACCCAAGGCCAGTCGGAAGGGCGTGCCGGGCGTTTCGTTTGCGACTTTCTCATCATGTATGACCCTGAAGTTGGCAACAGTTTCGCAAATGAAGGGCGGGTGGTTTTTAACATGTGGCTCTCGTCCCAGCGCCGCGCACACTCGCGTTACAGTATTGCAAGAGTTTCGCGGACTGAGGGTGGGTCGTTTGGAAAGTGTGGCTCTCGCCTCAGCGCCGTGTACACTCGTCTTCAAGAGTTGTAAGAGTTTCGCGGGTTGAGGGCGGGTTATTTTCAACATGTGGTTCTCGCTTCAGCACCTCGCGCACTCGATTTAGACAATGCAAGAGTTTCACGGATAGAGCGCGGGCGGTTTCAAAATGTGGCTTTTGCCTTAGCGCCGCGCGAATTCGTTTTCACAATTTGCAACAGTTTCACAGATGTAGGCCGGTTTCTTGTCAACATGTGGTTCTCGTCTTCGTGCCGCGCAGTTTCGTTTTAACAAATTACAAGACTTTTCCACATTCGAATGGTCAACGTGCCAGAAATTGTGTTTTGGAGCGATTCAGGATTGCCAGTGCGCAACAGATACGTTGATTCGTGGTGCTGTAGTCCCAGGAATGGTGTTCTGGCACGAGTCAGGATCATCAAGACGTAACAGTCAGGCTGATTCGTGGCGTTGAAGTCCTGAGAATGGTGTTTTGGCGCGCTTCAGGATCTTCACACGGTTGTCTCCCAAGCGGGTTCTTCCCTCAGTGGACATGAATATTTGTAGGGGCCCATGAAGAGGGAGCTTGGAGGGAGGGTTTATTCCAACACCGTTGATGAGTTATGGGTTTGCACTGGTCCTCTTCCTTCCCCCCCTTGCCCCCCTTCCCCTCCTTCCCCTAATTGTCCCTATCGCACTCCAGGGCCAGTCAGAAGGGCGGGCCGAACCTCCTTACCATTTATGATCCTGAAGCTGAAGACTTAGCGACAGCTTCACAGACGAAGGGCGGGGGGCTTTCAAAATGTCACTCTCGCCTTAGCGAGAGCCACGACTGGCGGGCGCTTTTCCCCTCATTCTCCTTCTCCTCGCTACCCCGTCGCGGTCCTCCCCGGCCCCCCCCGTCGCGCCCGCGGGGCAGGCGCACCTCGCACTCGGCCCGAAGCCATGCAGATCTTGAGGCGCCGGCCCTCCCCGAGGGAGGGGGGGCGTGCGCCCTTCTCCGATGAGGGGCGCAGCGGAGGAGGAGGAGGAGGAGGAGGAGGAGGAGGAGGACCAGGGGGAGGGGGAGGAGGAGGATGAGGATGAGGATGACGATAATGATGAGGATGATGATGATGATGTTGTTGATGATGATGAGTATGCTGAGTATGCTGATGAAGGTGCTGATGTTGATGCTGCTTATGATGCCGATTCCGATTCCAAGCCCGATTATGATTATGATGATGATAATGGTGATGATGCTGATGGTGATGGTGCGATGTTGTTGCTGATGATGAATACGATAATGATGATGCTGATGATGATGGTGGTGGTGGTGATGATGATGAAAATGATGATGATGCTGGTGATGATGTGAATACTGATGCTGATTCCGATTCTGATTATGATTCCGACTCTGATCATGGTTCTAATGATGATGATGATGATGATCATCGTATTGATGGTGCTAATGATGGTGGCGATGGTGATGTTCATGACGACGAGCAGGATAAATCTGATGATGGTGATCGTACATACGCAGGTGATAATGACGATGATGATGGTGATACTGATAATGATGATGATCGTGATGATGACGATCCTGATGATGAGTATGATGGTGATGACGGTAATGATGATGCTGGTGATGATGAGTATGATGATGATGTCTATGATGATGAGGATGATGGTGATGGCAATGTTGATGCCGATAATGATGATGATGATTATGATGTGGCTGATGGTGATGACGACCACGATGATGATCATGACGTTGATGATGATGGTGACGATGATGGTGATGATGGTGATGATGATGGTGACGATGATACTGATAACGATTATGATGATGACGATGATGATGCAGATAATTATGGTGATGCTGATGCTGAGGATGATGATGATGATGATGATGATGATGATGATGATGATGATGATGATGATGATGGCAATGATTATGATGACGATGTTGATGGTCATGATGATGATGATGATGATGATGATGATGATGATGATGATGGTGATGATGATGAGTATAATGACTGTTATTATGCTGATGACGATGTTGCTGTTGATGTCGATGATGATGATGCTGGTGATGCTGATGGTGATGGTGATGGGTATACTGGTAATGCTGATGATGTTGATGATGACGGTGGTGACGCTGATGAGGATTATGTTGATGATGATGGTAACGATGATGAAGAGTATGATGTTGATGCTGATCATGGTTATGGTGATATGATGATAAGGGCGATGATGGTGACGACGATGATGATGGCAATGATGATGAGGATGATGATGATGATGATGATGATGATGATGATGATGATGATGATGATGATGGTGGTGATGCTGGGGATTAGTATGATGGTGCTGATGATGCTGATGATGATGACGATGGTTGTGATGATGATGCTGATGACGATGACGATACAGGTCTTGCTGTTGGTGGTGATGGTCATGATGATACTGGTAATGAGTGTGATGATGACGATGACGATGATGATGATGATGATGATGCTGATGATGATGATGATGATGATGATGCTGATGACTATGTTGATGACGAAGGTATTGATGACGCTGTTGACGATATTGATGATGATGCTGATTATGAGAAGTGTGATGATGATGATTATGAGGATGAGGTTGATGATGTCGATGCTAATGATGATGATGATGATGCTGATCAGTAAGGTGATGATGCTGCTGATGATGATGATGATGCTGATGCTGATGGTAATGATGATTGTGACGACGATTCTGATGCCAATGTTCATGCTGATGATCACGATGACGGTGCTGATGGCGATGACGATGAGGATGAGGCGGACGAGGAAGGATTGTGATGCTGATGACGATGTTGATGACGCCGAAGACGACGACGACTACGATGATGATGATGATGATGATGATGATGATGATGATGATGATGATGGTGTTGTTGTTGTTGATTACGATGACGATGCAGATGACGAGGACGATGATGATGATGCTGAATCCTATGATGATGGTGATTGTACTCATGCTGTTGCCGACCATGATTTTGGTGGTGATGATGATACGGTGATGGTTACGTTGCTGATGGTGATGATGATGCTGATGGTGATGACGCTAATGAGTATGATGATACTGCTCATGATGATGACCCTGATCCTTGTGAATATGTCGATTATGAGTTTGAGCATGCTGATGCTGATTATGATGATGAACATGGTGATGATGCTGATGCTGATGATGATGCTTATGATGATGCTGATGATGATGCTGATCATGACAATGATGGTGGTGACGAAAATAATGATCATGATGACGATAACGAGGGTGGCGACAATGATGATGTTGATGATGCTTTTTGATGTTGTTGATGCCGATGTCAAGGATGATGACGGTGACGATGACGTTGATATGTTTATGATGTCGATAATGGTTGCGATACTGCTGATGGTGCTTGCGCTGAGGATTATGACGATATTGCTCATGATGATGTTGCTGATTATCATGAATGTGGCGGTCATGATGTTGATGATGATGGTGATGCTCATGATGACGACGATGTTGATGACCATGATGTCCATGCTGATGAGTTTGTCGACGTTGATCGTTTCGATGGTGATGACGATGATGCTGATGATGATGATGATCATCATCATCATCATGTTTATGATGATGATGATGATGATGATGATGATGATGATGATGATGATGATGATGATGATGATGATGATGATGATGATGATGATGATGATGACGATGACGACGATGATGATGGCTGGTAATAATGCTGATGGGTATACTGGCAATGCTGATACTGTTGATGATGACGGTGGTGACGCTGATGAATAATGCTGGTCATGATAATGCATAGTATGATGTTGATGCTGATCATGGTTATGGTGATATGATGATGAGGGCGATGATGACGGGGGGGATGCCTCCCAGCGGGCGGATGATGGGTCCGAGCCCCGCGCAGACGCCATGCGAGCAATGGCGTCTCCCGCGGCCGGCCTGCTGCCCGACGCGGGCGCCGAGGACGACGAGCACCCCGATGCGCGGGGGGCTGCGCGCGGCCCCCGGGTGCAGAGACTGCTTACCGCTGTTGTTGACAGGTGCGTCGCCGCGGGCGTGAAACAGTACTACGAGGATGCGGAGGGCGGCTCCAGCCACGTGCGCCGCCTCGAGGACCTGGCCCACCCCGACGTGGACCATGCGTGGCTGTGGTGCCTCTCCCACGCGCACGGGCGGGTGTTAGACAACGACGAGTTCGCGGAGGCCGTGCGGGTCCGCCTCGGAGCTGGGGGACCAACGGATGCAGGCGTATGCGGTGCTTGCGGGCAGGTGGTGCTTGATTCCGGTGGCAGCCACGCTTCCTGCTGCGCTGTGGGCGAGGCCACTCGAGGCCACAACGCCGTGCGTGACCTGCTCTACGACCTCTCCTTGACAGCTGACGACACCACTGAGCAGGAGCCTCAGGGGTTGATCCCTTCCCGTCCAGCGCTTCGCCCCGCTGATGTGCTGTCGCCCGCGGTCCTGTCGGGCCGCGCGGCGGCGCTGGACGTAGGAATCGCTTCCGTGGAGGCCGCGAGTGGCGGAGACGCTGCCGAGGCGATGCACAAGCGGAAAACAGGGGAACGAGAGCCTTTCGCGGACGAGCTGGCGTCCCAGAACATCGTCTACATGCCAGTGGTATGGACGAACTTCGGCCGCCCGCACCCAGGCGCGCTCACCGCGATCCGCGCGATCGCGAGGCGGGTCGCCAGGCGGCGCGGGCACGCGTCGCAGAAGGTCGTGCTGCGCCAGTTCTTACGCAACCTGGGCGCTGAGATCGCCAGGCGCGCGGCGCGCATGAGCCTGGCATGCTGGCCCGTGGCCGAGGAGGCGCCATCCGGCGAGGGGGGCAGGCCTCCCGGGCTCCAGCCCGGCGCCGCTGTGCGCGCCGCCCGCCGGCGCCCAGGGCATCCTGAAGTAGCGGTGGCGCCCGGTCGCTTGCTGCCCTGAGGGCTCCTCCCCCGCCGTTCCCCTCCTCCTCCTCCTCCTCCTCCTCCTCCTCCTCCTCCTCCTCCTCCTCCCCGTCCTCCCCGTGTCCTCGTTTAAGGCGCGGGCGCGCGCGTCTAACGGCGGGGCCGGGTGGCTCACACCCCGCTGCCGCGCCCTCGCCCAGTGAGATTTCGCCGCGCGTTGTGCGCAGCGGTCATTTCCCTCCTCGTCCCCCCTCTTCCCTTCCTCGTCTCCTCTGCCTGTGTTTTCCTCGCTTCCCCGGCGAATTCGGCCAATCGGAATGCCATTTCTGGGTCGCACTGCGGACGCATCGATCCGATTTTGTTCGGTACCGGCCCATGCGTCTATTTTCGGGCGTATTGGCCTATATCCATCGAGCTTGGCGCCGCCGCCGTTCGTCCTCCCTCTCCTCCTCCTCCTCCTCCTCCTCCTCCTCCTCCTCCTCCTCCTCCTGCTCTTTCTAGCTGCCATCTGGGCCCAAGCGAGAATCAGGCAGCAACGGCACCTTCACCTCTCACTGGTCCTGGCTCACGGCAGGCATGGCACTTCTCGGGCCGAGGGCGGCCTGGAGGCGATGAAGCACACGGACAGCGGGGGGAGGCAGAAGGACACAGAGATGAGGCATGCGATCATCTCCATGATCTGGCACTTCGGAATCGGTTTCGACTCCGAGTGCCTCGTATCGGACAAAGTGCGCGTGATCAGCAAAACCAGCGACGAGGCGCAGTACATCTGGGAGTTCGACTTGTTCGAAACGAAGAAGCAGCGCAACGACATCAAGCTGTACGTGCTACGGGTCTTAATCATGGACGACCCCGACGAGCTGATGCCAGAGAAGCTCAACTTCGTGAAGGGGGTAGTTGACTATGAGGACCTGCCGCTAAACATTGCCAGTGAGACGCTGCAGCGAAACAAGATCCGGCACGCGAACAAGAATAACCTCGCCAAGAAGTGCCTCGAAATGTTCGCGGAGATCGGTGAGAAGAAGGATGACTACAAGAAGTTGTACGAGCAGTTTGGCAAGCGCTTCAAGCTGGGCGTGCACGAGGACGTCACCGTCCGCACGAAGATCGCGAAACTTATGCACTACCACCCCTCGAACTACGGAGACGAGATGATTAGCCTCGACGGCGCACGGCCCGATGCGACTGGCCCCGTCCAGGCATCCGTGCACCGGCGTACGGCCCGATGCGGCTGCCGAACGGCAGGCACCCGTGCGCGTGGGCAGAATGACCTCTACTGCATCACGGGAGTGAGCATTGCCGCGGTGTCGTGAGTGTCAATTTTTCTTTTTGTCCTGGAGCCTCGAATCATTTTCGGGGTCTCCCCCCACACTCCAGCCACCAGGGGAGGTTATGGGCCCAAGTGCTCTACGCCTCTTCCAAGTGACTAATAGGAATCACGTGTGGTTCGCCCTCGGGCCGACGTGGGCCTCACGGGTCCGAGTTGGACTAAATGGTCCCACAGGCTTGCCCGAGTTGTGCGTTGATCTCACCAGCAGCACCCGTCATAGCTACGGCGCATGTGACACCCGCAGCCCAGGTCTTGCTTGCTTGCTCCTGCTCTTTCTCCTCCTCTCATCCTTGACCTGTAGCTGCCAGTGTTCAGGGTAAAAGTGGGATTCCAGAGCATGGCCCAGTGACGGTGCTGCTGCGTATCACCTCTGTTTTCTTGGTGGTGCTTCCGTGGAGTAGCCTGGTTGCCCACTTTGAGGACATGCGAGTTCTTTGTAACATCGCCCTCTGCGAATATACCCCGTATAATACCCTACACACCCTCTGCCTCTGCGCCGCAGGGTCCTTGATTTCTCTCCGCTGGAGTGGTGAAAGCCAGTGGCGGCTCGCGCCGCTTTCGCGTGCCTACGCCATGTATGCATGCTGTGCCAGTGGAGTTTTTTAGTGCCGCAGGGGTAGCGGCTCCGTCCTCGTTGTCGCACTGGCGTGTTATGACGCTGTCTTGGCATCGGCACGGCAAGACAAGGGGGGCGGTCTCGAAAGTAGCCGCCAAGATTGCGCGCGATTGTCGGGACGACGACGATGGTGATGGCAGTGATGGTGATGAAGCTGATGATAACGATGGCGGTAGTTGGGATGATGCTGATGAATGTGATGGTTCTGATGATGCTGATGATGATGGTGACGATGGTTGTGATGATGATGCTGATCACGATGACGATGCAGGTCTTGCTGTTGATGGTGATGGTCATGATGAAACTGATGATGAGTGTGATGATGACGATGTTGGTGATGATGGCCATTTTGATGACGGCGAAAATAATGATGATGATGACGTTATTGATGTTGATGATGAGGATGGTGAGGGATATGATGATGCTGATGATGATGACGACGATGCTGGCAATGATGATGATGATGATGCTGTTGATGATGATGTTGATGATGATGCTGATGGTGATTTCAAGGATGATGACGATATGGGCTTTCTTGACGATAGCGATTGCGATGATGATGGTGATGATGATAATATCGATGGTGATCATGATGGTGGTGGTGACGATGCCGCTTATACTGATGCGGACGCTGATGCTGATGGTTATGATGGTGCTGATGATGCTGATGATGATGATGATGGTATTGACGATGATATTGGTGATGATGATGACGACGACATCCATGATGAGTATGTTGATGATGATGATGATGCTGGTGTCGATGCTGATGCTGGTGATGATGATGATAATGATGCTGTTGATAATGATGATGCTGATGATGAAGGTGTTGGTGGTGATGATGATGCTGATGATGCTGCTGCTGATCATGATGATCCAGGTGATGCTGATGCTGATGGTAATGATGCGGATGATGATGTTTATGATGATGGCGATGATGCGGGTAATGCTGATGATGGTGCTGATGATGATTATGATGATGCTGCTGCTGATGCTGATGATGATGGTACTGATGACGATGGTGATGATGATGAAGATGATGATGATGATGATGGTGATGATGATGATGCTGATGATGATGATGATGATCATGGTGATGATGATGGTGATGATCGTGGTGGTGGTGGTGGTGATGATGATGATGATGATGATGATGATGATGATGATGATGATGATGATGATGATGATGAGGAGGCGCAGGAGGAGGAGGAGGAGGAGGAGGAGGAGGAGGAGGAGCAGGAGCAGGAACAGGAGCAGGAGCAGGAGCAGGAGCAGGAGCAGGAGCAGGAGGAGGAGGAGGAAGAGGAGGCGGAAGAGGAGGAGAAAAAGGAGGACGAGGGAGATGGATATGGGGGAGGGGGAGGACAAGGAGGAGGACGAGGAGGAGGAGGAGGAGAAGGAGGAAGAGGAGCTGAGGGAGGGGGAGAAGGAGGAGCAGGAGGAGCAGGAGGAACGGGAGAAGGGGGATGACGCCGGCGAGTGCATAATCCCCTCGGCGGCTGGATTCTATTGTGGGGGCAGAACGGTGGAGGAGGAGGAAAATGAGGAGGAGGAGGAGGAGGAGGAGGAGGGGCAGGGTATGACGGCGTCGATCCATGGGCGGACCCACCTGAAGCATCAATACATCGAGAACGAGTGGGTGTGGGGGGGTGGGGATAAGGAGGAATGTGAAGGAGGATGCGGAGGGGGGCGGTTGACTTCGTGTACGTTGAGTGGTTCCATCGCGCTGAATACTAATGGGCACTCGCCAAGCGGTCAAGCCAAAAGGACACCCCCCCGCCAGCGGGGGGCGGTGGAGGTGGAGGAGGTGTTGGTGGGGTGGATGAGGGTGAGTTCCTCTGCAGGACGAGCGAGATTTGGCGGTATGGTGCATCGGCTTGCATCGATTGTACGACGATGTGCGACATGCGTCGATTGTCCAACGCGGCTGATCGATCGGCACAGGCGCAGCCTTGCGCGCAGGTATTCCTTCCCGTATGCCGCTGTGGTCTTTGAGCTCCTCCTCGTTGCCAGACAGGCCCGCATGTGACTTCTGTTTTGAGTGCTCCAGGAGCGACGAGGGGGATGGACACGTCTGCGTAGGGATTGTTGGAGAGAAGGGAACGGCCGCCATGTCGATGAAATGTACGCAGTAGAAGGAGGAGGGGAAGACGGAAGCGGCAGAGGAGGAGGAGGAGGAGGAGGAGGAGGAGGACGAGGAGGAGCAGGAGGATAAGTAGGGTGAAGCGGCACAGGAGGAGGATAAGGAGGGGGAATATGATGATAATGATGATGAGGAGGAGGATGCTGTTGCTGCTGATGATGATGAGAAGGATACTGCTGATGACGATGATGATGATGATGATGATGATGGTGATGATGATGATGATGATGATGATGATGATGATGATGATGATGATGTTAGTGCTGATGATGATGGCGGTGATGATACTGCTGCTGCTGATGATGATGTTGCTGATGTTAGTGATGATGCCAATGCTGATGATGCTGATGCTGATGATGATGCTGATGCTGATGTTGATGATGATGCTGGTGATGATAATACTGATACTGATGCTGCTGCTGCTGATGACGATGCTGCTGCTGATGATGATGATGATGATGATGATGATGATGATGATGATGATGATGATGATGATGATGATGAATGCTGATGCTGATAATGCTGATGTTGATGCTGATGCTGACGCTGATGCTGATGCTGATGCTGCTTCTGATGATGATGATGTTGAGGAGGAGGAGGAGCTAGAGGTCAGGTGGCCATCCATGCAGCGGCAGGCAGGCAGCTCGTACGTACCACAGAAGCTCCCGCCCTCGAGCCGCGAGCCAGATCTGCAAGCGCTCCCCTCCCTTTCGCTCCTGCCGCCCGTGGCGACAACGGGCGTGACCGCGGGGGGGCGAGGGGGCAGGGGCCGGTCACGACACG